CCAAGTCTGGCTCGGCGCTACCGCTTTTGGTACCGAAAATTAACCCCGAGCCACACTCGGGATAACAGCCAGGGAGGTTAAGGGGACTGGTATCTTGCTGTATCCACCCAGATAAGTATAGACTCAAAGGGAGAAAGGATAATTCATAGTGCAACCCTGTATAAACACTGAATAATTTATTTAAAAAATGCTTTTTTTTGCGCTATTTAATCTGTTTCCAGTAAAGATGGAGGGATGGTTCTCCCACCTAAAAGGTTTTGGTTGATAGGCCTCTAGATACTCCTTTTTGAAGTCCTCCTTCACAGGCTGAGCCTTGCAACCAGCTATTGCCACCTTGTCAATTGCCCAAACTATGGCAAACCGGATTGGTAAAATCAAGTGAATTTTTTCCAATTTATAGATAATCCTAATCTTGCTGCAAGATTACAACTTTTTACCTTTAAAACTTTACCTTTATGTAGAAGTTGTGGAGATTGTGATCCATCAGATCTCCAGAAGGGCCTTACTTTCTGAGTGTGACTCAAAGCTTAAAGTGTTACTAAACCCAGGACCCTGCATTGACTATATCTGGTCTCCCACAGTACACACAACATGGAAATGCAATTATTTTAGTAAATATAAATTGCTAAATTCCTTTTCTCATCAGCAATTAGAGCAGTCTTGTGACTTCTATCAGTGTCCCAGCAGAGCACTGGTTAAAGCTTTTTGGAGTTATCTTTCTGCTCTAGGAGGATGCAAAACCCCTGACCTCTGTCTGAACAGTGCTGATTGGCCCTGTGCTGATCACATGAACTCTTCCAAGAAATAATAAAAACCTCTCTAGCAATACACATTAAACTGAGCATGTCCAGAATGGCTACGGTTCAGTCTGTCTCATCAGGACATAAGACGTGGACATTTGTACAAGAGGAGAAGCCAGGATCAAACTACCTTTTTACATAATGCAGAGGATTGATCCCTTATGTTCCACAGTGAGTAGAACAAGCATGCTTTACTGCATATACAGATTGATTTTACTGATTTGGGTTTAGTAACACTTTAAAGCCTGGTCAGCAGAGCACCCTTGAAAATGGTGCCTTTTGCTCATTCCCTTCAAAGTTATGGTCTACTTTGGGAGTTCCCTCAAGGAATACATTGAGGTGGGAAGGGAGGTTGCTACCCCACTATCCTCATTATTGCCTCCCCTAATATTCAGATATAATAAAGGTTGCCCCCACCCCTTGATTTAAAGGTGGGGGGGCATATTTTTTTTTCCATCCCTATTAAGGAGGTTTTCAAAATCCTTAGTGACCCCTGTTTATTTAACAATGCATATTCCATCATGCTTTCAAGAACATCTATTTACTACAGTAACCAGTCTCCTGGCTAGCTACTCTCCTGTAGATGTGTCACTAAGTCTACTGCAAAAGAGTGACTCCTGCCTGGTCTACCATAGACATACCACTAGAACTCCAATATGATAAATCCACTAACTTTAATAGCAACCATAATGTGATGAGGTTTTACTCTTCTCTCCATATTTCAATGACATTTTTACATTGCTGAACTCACATCTTGTGGCGCTAGACCGCATCAATCTTCATGTACCAGGGTGACTTGGAGACCTTTTTCAAAAAGGCCTCTTAGCCAACTCTTTGATCATAGACCAAACACCTCCCTTACCCCCTGCGGGTGGCAGCACCTTTCTCCAGCTTCTCCCCCAACCTTGTACTGCTTAGACTATCTGGGTCTAATCCTCATATCATTATATACAGTGTATTTCCCCTCAGAATGACAATTGTCTCTCACTGACGCCAAGTCCATGAACATGCCTCTGACACCCTTCAGTTGCCTCCCAGATAATTTCCCTCAGTTCAGCTGGAAGCCCCCCCCTCAAGAAAGTCAGTGCCTGGTTTACCACTCCAGGTTACTGGAAATATACTCCTCACTATGCGTGGATTACATAGACCCTCTTTTCTTCATTGATCTCCCTGGCTTACAACTCTCAGACTCGGCCCCATTACAGTGGCATTTGAAAGTCAGTGGTATATACACTGCTCAAAAAAATTCAAGGAACACATTGAAAACACATCAGATCATAATGGGCAAAAAATATCATGCTGGATATCTATACTGATATGGACTGGGTAATGTGTTAGGAACATAAGGATGCCCCATCGTTTGATAGAAATGAAAATTATCAACCTACAGAGGACTGAATTCAAAGATACCCCGAAAATCAAAGTGAAAAAATTATGCAACAGGTTAGTACATTTTGCTAAAATTTCATTGCAGCAACTCAAAATGGTACTTAGTAGTTTGTATGGCCCCCACGTACTTGTATGCATGCCTGACAATGTCGGGGCATGCTCCTAATTAGACGGATGATGTCCTGGGGTATTTCCTCCCAGATCTGGACCAGGGCATCACTGAGCTCCTGGACAGTCTGAGGTGCAACCTGGCTGCATTGGATGGACCAAAACATGATATCCCAGAGGAGTTCTTTTGGATTGACTGCATGCTCTCGCCATGAGGCTGGGCATTATCGTGCACCAGGAGGAAACCCAGGATCCACTGCACTAGTGTACGGTCTGACAATGGGGCCAAGGATTTAATCCCAGTACCAAATGGAAGTCAGGGTGCCATTGTCTAGCCTGTAGAGGTCTGTGCATCCCTACATGCCTCCCCAGACCATTACTAATCCACCACCAAAACGGTCATGCTGAACAATATAACAGGAAGCAAAATGCTCTCCATGGCTTCTCCAGACCCTTTAACGTTTGTCACATGCTCAGGGTGAACCTGCTCTCATCTGTGCAAAGCACAGGGTGCCAGTGGCCCTCTAGAGGACGTCGGCCCTCAGGCCCCCCTTATGAAGTCTGTTTCTGATTGTTTGGTCAGAGACATTTACACCAGTAGCCTGCTAGAGGTCATTTTGTAGGTTGACAATGCTCATCCTGTTCCTCCTTGCACAAAGGAGCAGATACCAGTCCTACTGATGGGTTAAGGACCTTCTAGGCCCCTGTCCAGCTCTCCTAGAGTAACTGCCTGTCTCCTGGAATCTCCTCCATGCTCTTGAGACTTGACTGGGAGACACAGCAAACCTGGCAATGGCACGTATTGATGTGCCATCCTGGAGGAGTTGGTATGCCTGTGCAACCTCTTTAGGGTCCAGATTTCACCTCATGCTACAGGTAGTGACACTGACCCTAGCCAAATGCAAAACTGGTGAAAAAATATCAGAAAAGATGAGTAGGGAAAAATATGTCAGTGGGCTGCACCTGTAAAACCATTTGTTTTGGGGTCATCTCATTTTTGTGCACCTGTTGTTAATTTTATTAACACCAAAGCAGTTGAAACTGATTAACAACCCCTCTGCTACTTAACTGACCAGCTCAATATCACAGGAGTTTAATTGACTTGATGCTATACTTTAATTAAAAAGTGTTCCTTTAATTTTTTTGAGCAGTGTCTTAGGAAGCAAGTAAACATGTTGTCCATTCAATTCTTTTAGGTCTGTCATTTTGTTTTTTCCCCACTCCATTTTGTACCAACATGTTGATTAATTGTTTTGTATTATAACCAGAATGAGTTAATGAAAATATGCTATGTCAGTTATGTATTACAGAACTATACTCACAACATTCTTCTATTTTTTATCTTAGCTTAGCCTTGGTAGAGACGGTGATAGTATTCAACTATTTCTTTGTATTAACAAGCACCTGTTTCTGTTATGATACAATTAAATGTCAAATATTTCTGTTCCATGAGAAAATAATTGTTTGTTACTTATAACTAATTACAAATGCCTGAGAAAGATCATGTTCATAGCCTTGAAAAGTATCTAGCCAGATTCTATTGTATGTAGCAGATGTAAGCATGATAATTCCTTATTTTTTTATTAAATTTTTTCTCATTCCTTATTCAGGATTGACGTAAATGTTTGTACACTATGCACGTTATATTGTATAAAAGAGAGCTTTCGTTGTGGAATAAATTAGAAGTTTTTTGGTTACTGACAAGACGGTCTCATGTGTGATTACTTGTAACCAATGCTTCTCCAGGCCTGAGGAGACAGAAATGAGTGACAGAGAATTTAGACCAGGGGTCTAAAGGGTCAACAGAACCAACAGTTTTGGGGGCTCGTCCGGGATATCGGTATCACCCGCTCAGTGACCATCCACTTGTCCGGTAAGTAGAATTATTTTTCTATATAACCTGTACAAGTTGGATACAAGGAAACTGGGAGGCTCTGATTAGTCCGATATCCATTTAAGCCAAAATGTGTTCAGGGAACACAACACTCCGGGAGTGTTAGAAAAATAGTCTCAGGGAGACTAAGAAATCTCAGGGAGATTGCCAATAAAAAGTGTTCAGGGAACACAACACTCCGGGGTGTGTTAGAAAAATAGTCTCAGGGAGACTAAACAATCTCAGGGAGATTGCCTATAGTCACTCATTCTGTGTCTAAAGTTTATTATTTTCCACATATAGAAGTATAAGTTAATTTGTTTTGTATGAGTAGTAAGTCTGAGGTGGTAAGTGTACAGACCGAAATCACTGAAGACCTATTGTCAGAAGGTGTAAGACGCACCACCCTCTCAGCTAGACCTTATTGGTTGTTGACCTGAGAAAGGTGAACGCATGGTGACACCAACTGGGAGGTCTATGTAATGACATGTACATTGTGTAAATGTGGGTTGCTGATACATTATAAAGGTCGTGATAGTAATAGACACGTTATTGTAGATGTTGTAAATAGACCTTATAATCAAGTTGAAGTATATACCAGAGGGGTCAGTTGTATAAAATTAATTGTCATATACCAGTGCCGCATATTTTATAGGCCAAACGTTGGGACAATTAAGATCCTTTGAAAGAAGGTATTATCTGTAAATGACTTGCAAATATTGTGTCTGTGGGGTGATTTTTCAGAAAGACAGTCAGGGAAAGGACTCTGATCTCATTTTGACAGTATCCAACTTGAGAGATTGATTTTACCTATCACTGTGTGTATGTGTATGTCTGTTGTCTTTCTCTTCTGAGATGAAGTCAATCTCCCCGACGCGTCCCCGACGCGTCCGTACCTGAAACTGACTATAAAGACTGATAGCCAGGGGCTATGGACAACCTTTCATTGAGTCTCCGGGAGACTCAGATAAGGAAAGGTGATTTATGTAGACGGGGTCTACATTTGAAATACCTAGACAGGGTCTAGGTTAATTACAGAGTCTTAACTAGTCTGTTGGGGGTAATCAATTTTCTTTTCTTTGCTTCTACTATCAAATGTATAGAGTAATAAGATAATTTGTTTATGCAAATAAGTGAACCTGGTTGGTAAGTGAACGGGTCAAAGTAATTGAAATAGAGTCAATATTTAAGTTCTTATTGTCTATCTTTTGTTGAGAGTGATAAGTGGTTATGTGTTACTAGACCCGCTCGTACTGTCAGCTCCGTACTGTCAGAATATATCCTCCTTCTCCAAAGAGGACGTGAATTTTTCCTTTAGCTATTGCAGCACAGCAGCAGCAAATCCAATCCACAGCCTCATCCACTGTCCCAGTCCAGGACGCTGTGGAAGATCAACCTAAACCCCCCCCAAGGAATTCCTGATTCCACACAGAATGAGGAAACTTTTTTTTTTTTTTTCCTGCTGAAGGATTAAAAGAGATATCAGGGTCCTTATTAGTAGACTTGGCAAATAAAGCAGGAATAGATAAAATTTTCAGTCCTGGAAAGGCAGGTAGAACCAGATACAAGGTGGCAATACAGACCAAGCAATATCCATTTCTCACTGTAGGAGACACATTAATAATTAAATGTTTAGAAATAGAGGACATTGACTGTGTTTAAAACATTGTTCTGTTGGTGTTTGACATTCGTTTTTTTTACAGCCATACCGTCTGATGCTGAATGTTTTTCAATAATTGATTTAGCAAATGCATTTTTTAGCGTCTTTGTTGATGCAGAGACACAGCCCATTTTTGTTTTCTGTTTAATGCCTCAGGGTTTTTTGTAGATTTTTCTGTAATCTACACAACTGTTCTCCAAGCCACTCTGAGGGAATGGACACCGGACTATGGGTCAGTCCTGCTGCAGTACGCAGATGTCATCTGTCTCTGCAGTCTCACTAAGGGGGCCGGCCTGAGGGATGGGGAGAGTTTGTTGAAATGTTTTTTTTGAAAGTGAACACAAAGTGAATAAGAAAAAAAACTACAATGGTGTAAAATAAGTGTTGAATATCTGGGTTTTGTGTTTACAAAAGGAGGAAAGGAAAGTCAGTCCAAAGAGAGCTGTGGCTCTCCTGAAACTTGCCCGCCCACAAACCAAGAAAGACATGCTCACCTTTCTTGGAGCCATTGGTTACTGCCGCCAGTGGATACCTGACTGTTCCTATTATGATAAGTCACAACCCAGCAAATGTCAGAAATTGTTAAGTGGTCAGATGACATGGTTGATGCATATGTGTATTTGAAAAATGCAATGGTAACTGCCCCAGGCCTTAGCCTTCCTGATTATGTAAAAATGTTTCATGTGTATGCAAGGGACAATTGTAAGACCATGGCTGGTGTACTCGCCCAAGAGCATGGAGGCAGACTTCGCCCTGTAGTTTTTTTTTTTTCTCAAAAATGGTGCCAGTTCAGGTCCAAGGCATGCCTGCGTGTCTCAAAGTGTTGGCATTTTACATTATGACTGTGGAGATGTCTATGTTATTCACCTTAGGACACCCCATGATATTGCACACTACACATAATGTAGCTATTTTATTAAGAAAAATATACACACTCAGCACATGTCCTCCCAACAACTCAGCGGATATGAGGTTATTTTGATGAGCAACCCCATGTTGCATATCAAGTATAACAACTCAGGTCCAGCCATGATCCTAAATGCACTGTTGGGTCTCAAATTGTCAAACGATCTAGGACCCGAGGCTCATGACTTCCTCAAATCCATTAAGGCTAATATTTCATCCAGACTAGATTTATTAAAGATTCCAATCCCAAATGCTGATGTTGTTTTCATAATAGATGGCTCCTGCACTAGGCCAAATGACAATCCTTTTTCAATCAGCCCAGGCTGCTGAATTGATTGTTTTCACTAAAGCATGTGAATTGTACAAAGATCAGTCTGTCACTATTTACACAGATTCTTAATATGCCTATGGAACAGTGTATGACCATGGTGTATTATGGTTTCTCAGAGGCTACATAGGAGCGGATGGAAAAAGATTGCCCATTCCCAACTATTAGCCAATTTGCTCAAGGTTCTCACACTTCCCAAGGATTTTGCTGTCATACACTGCAGAGCACATACCAAAGGGGACGATGATATAACAAAAGGTAACGCTCTAGCAGATTATGAAGAAAAAAAGGTAGCTCAGTAATAATTTGTTTTACTGCAGATACCCACTTTGTGCCCCATCCTCCCAGATGATTTTTAATTGATCACAACTTTGTAGCAGTCAGCTTTTCACAAAGGAGTTCGAAGACTGGTGCTACCCTATTTTACAGAAGAATCCAAGTGGATTAATCTGCAAAGAGGGGAAACCATGCATCCCACGGTGCACACCCTGATATACATTGCACACCATGATATACATTGCAGGATGAAAGGCAATAAAACAATCCAAAAAGATTTTTTTATATCACAGAAGTGGTGGAGTTAGTACAAGATTTTGTGAAAAGATGCATCACATGTATCAGGAGTAACCCAAACAACCCAAATAAAGCCATGCATCAATACCTGCCTTACCCCACAACACTTTTTTTTTTACACATCTTCAAATTGACTTTACACACATACCCCAACAACAGGGAAGACAACAACCAGCTTGTGTGGTCACAGATGTGTGTTTTCCCGATGGCAAAAAAATGTATCCCACAAAAAGAGAACGATGTTATCCGCAAGTTTCCGTTTTTTTTACAGGAAAATACCTACCCGTTCCAGGCCGGAGATCGTATTGTGGTGAAACAGCTGATGAGAAACAAGAAATAGCAGGATTTCGTCTATGGACCAGAAATTACAGTCAGTAGCAGTAACCAGAACAGCAGTTCTCACTGAACATAGTTCCATCTGGATCCATGCTTCCAGAGCGAAGCTGGTCGAGAAAGGCCCAGGACCAGACCCAAGGAAAAAAGGAAAGGAGGTACTAACGGGGGCAGAAAGCCCTGACCTCGAACAGGACAATCAAGGAAAGAGGGTACTAACGGGGGTAGAAAACCCTGACCCTGAAGAAGATGAACTGCTTCCCCAATTTTGGACCATGGTTCTGCCACTTTCTCCTGATCATACTGATTTTGTTGGCATCTAGCCATGGTGAAGTGGTGATAATACAGGACTCAGGCCACACTATATTGTGGTATAATTCATCAAATACTGAGGTTGCTACCTTTATTATTGATTACTGCCAAAGTGTACAATGTCCCCATAACTCCCACTTACTCTGGTTGTGTAATATGTATCATACTGCACATGATGTTAGCCATGTATATATAGATGCCATAGGGGTACCAAGAGGGGTTCCAGACGAATTCAAGGCAAAAAAAAACCAAGCAGCAGCAGGATTTGAGTCTATATTTCTCATTGTCACCGTAAACAAGAATGTTGATTGGATAAATTATATATATTACAATCAACAGAGGTTTGTCAACTACACCAGGGATGCATTGAAGGGGATAGCGGAGCAGTTGCAGGCTGATTCCACCATGACATTTCAAAACCGCATGGCCCTAGACATGATTCTTGCTGAAAAGGGGGGTACATGTGTATACATTGGTAAAACCGAAGGATGTTGTACCTACATACCTGATAATACTGGGCCTAATGGGAAGATCACGTTGGCCATAAAAAGTTGGAGGACCTTTCTGAAGAGCTAAAAACAAACTCAGGCATTGATAACCCTTGGGACCAGTACTTTGGATGGTTTACTAGTTAGAAACAAGCATTAGTGCAATTTTTCATTATTATCGTTATTATCATGGTAATCATAGGTTTAGTTGTATGTTGTGTAATCCCTTGTTTCCGTAAAATGCTTAGCAAAGGCATTGAAAATGCCTCCATGCTCTCCATAAGTCTTGAACACACACGATTATTTGATAAAAAGCCCAATGACTATTCTGTTTATGTTGCGAAACACAAAGAGAGGAAGAAAGGTAGCCCAGTTATTTGACGGATGGGGGCGGCCCTTATGCCACCTGGGATTCCAAGGATGCTAGCATCGCCATACCCATTGTATGTAGCCAGAGAGTTGCCAAACCTCTGATGACGTCAAGGTAACTGTGGATTGAAGTAATAAAATCACCCAATTAGAAATAGTTGATTTTAAGAGGGGATTGAAGGGAAATGTATGTCTTTTAGGTCTGTCATTTTGTTTTTCCCCACTCCATTTTGTACCAACATGTTGATTAATTGTTTTGTATTATAACCAGAATGAGTTAATGAAAATATGCTATGTCAGTTATGTATTACAGAACTATACTACTCACAACATTCTTCTATTTTTTATCTTAGCTTAGCCTTGGTAGAGACGGTGATAGTATCCAACTATTTCTTTGTATTAACAAGCACCTGTTTCTGTTATGATACAATTAAATGTCAAATATTTCTGTTCCATGAGAAAATAATTGTTTGTTACTTATAACTAATTACAAATGCCTGAGAAAGATCATGTTCACAGCCTTGAAAAGTATCTAGCCAGATTCTATTGTATGTAGCAGATAAGTTTTTATGAAATAGTATTCCATTCTTGGATTAAATTTTGCTTCTCATCATTATTCAGGATTGACGTAAATGTTTGTATTCTCACTTGCACGTTATATTGTACTATAAAAGAGAGCTTTCGTTGTGGAATAAATTAGAAGTTTTTTGGTTACTGACAAGACGGTCTCATGTGTGATTACTTGTAACCAATGCTTCTCCAGGCCTGAGGAGACAGAATGGGCACATGAGCATAAGAACTAGACCACGGCAATGGAAAAAAAAAGTGACCTGGTCTAATGAATCAAGTTTTCTTTTAAATCATGTGAATGGCTAGGTGCTTGCACATCACTTACATGGGGAAGAAAATGGCACCAGGATGCACTATGAGAAGAAGACAAGCTGGCAGAGGCAGTGTGATGCTTTGGGCGATGTTGTGCTGGGAAACTTTGAACCTGATGTTCATCGGGATCTTACTTTGACATGTACCACCTACCCCTAAACATTACTACTGACCAAATACACCTGTTTATGTAAACACCTAGTCCTTGCTACCTGGCACATCTTTGTTAGACCTTGTATATCCTCTTCATAACACTTTGGCTTCGCACTCTTTGAGCACTTCCTTTGCAGAAGTTGCTTGACGGTGCAATTTTTCTGTGCCCCTCTGGGGCTTTACTCAAGTAATCTAGCCAACACAGAGCCCTCTTCTTATGCTAAAAGGGACCACTCACTTACATCTGACCAGAAGGAAGAACTCCAGCTCTGCTCCAGTCACATGCGGAAGCTGACTGGTCAATGCACAACGGAAGACGGGAATATACACCGATATGATGCCTGATAAAAATGTTTTAAGAAAATTGCTGGTAGCCATAATAGTAACCCTGACTAGAACAATAGGGGGGAGGGCAGATCATGTGACCCATGTATCGATATTATTAGAGTAGGATCTGTAATCTCTAGAATGTTACTATGGCATTCTCATTATCAATGTGAAGGCACAGTCACTGATACATGTGTACATAATCAAACAACTTTTTCAATGTGCACTGTAGGGAACCAGGTAACCTGTTATGGCCACACCTATGGACCCACTAAAACCTGGTTGACCATACGGAGCTACGGCTCCACAGGCAAGCTGATAAACCATACCCTAATAGTTAATCCCAATGGTGCAGTGCGCCCGATTTTTGATGTATGCTCTGCTATTACCTAAACAATTCCCCCAGGAAAGGTTGAGGGTTAGACTGGGAAATGGAGTACCTGGCAAATGATAAGTATATTTGCTCAGGGAAGCTAGGAAGGCTGCAGCCCATGTAATGGCCATGTGTAAATATCAACCCCTAGTTGTCCAAGATCAGGATTGCCCTTAGTCCCCTATGATTTGGGTGGTTAGTGGTTAATTGGTGATGCTTTATCTCACTCAAACTTTTGCTATGATAGCATGAAAGGGGGTAATATGGTAGGACCCAGATGTTGTAGAGTTCCCCTTTAAACGCTAACACTTCTAGCAGCCTGTTTGTATAAGCAAGGTTTTTGGCTCATCTTCCCCCCTCCCTTATTTCCAGTGTATGGATCTGCAGCTGGTATTTTCTTATCTCTAGTTGCTGGCCAAGGTTATTCTGTAGAGTTTAGGAAGCTTTTTGAGTGTAAAGTAGGAAAGGAATGTATGCCTTGTGACATAATTGTTGGTATGCTTGTAAGAAGTTTTCTACAACTCACTTAGATGAGAGCGGCTTGCCGTCTGCTGGGTCACTACAGCGCTGTTTTTAATAAATTAGTTGCTTCCTTCAGAAGTCTGAGTGTGGAGTTTTATCTGGTTTTGTGGAAATTGCTACTACAGTATGGGCTCAAATCACACCGCAAAGGTTTCGGAGCATTTGCACAAGTACTTGTGCAAATGCTTAATATCAGTATCGGTGCAACCCTTTTTATTTGTCCATTCCCTGTCTGTTATTGGACTCTTGCATTTTAGTAATAGCGTGACTTGATCATGAGAACATTTTGGCAGGAATAAAGGAACACACCCAAAAAAAAGACTCTCTGGCATAAAACTTTATAATTCAGGTAGAAAAGTATTTGTTTGGAACATGTACAATTGAAATATTTAAGTGAAAAAAAAGTACAGCCTTAATTTAAAGTAAGCATTGTAATGGATAGGCGCAAGGTGGTTCTCTCGTTCTGATAGGACGTCATATGACGTCCTTCCATTCTCACCGCGCATGCTCGGCTCAGGGAGCGCGCAGCGCAGCGATCGCCAATGCGCTGTGTCTCTCGGACACAGTGGATCACAGGAAAGAGCCGAAGATGTCGGCTCGGTCATGTGATCAGCTGTGTCCAATCACAGCTCATCACATGTAAACACGGAAATGTCGGTTATCGGCATTTCTCTCCTCTCGAGCTGTCAGCGGGAGAGGAGAGCCGGTAATTGGCTTTCCGCAGAGGGGACATGTACACTGATCATCAGGGCACTGATGATCAGTGTGCCCTGATGATCAGTGTGGCCCAAAAAGTGCCACCAGTCAGTGTCCATCAGTGCTCATCAGCGCCACATCAATGCCACATAGTGCATATCAGTGCCCATCTGAGCTGCCTTTCAATGTCACCCATCAGTGCCAGTCAGTGCCGCCTATCAGTGCCAGTCAGTGCTGCCTAACCGTGCCAGTCAGTGTCGCATATCAGTGTCATGTATCAGTGCTGCCTTTCAGTGCCCATCAGTGCAACCTACCAGTGCCTCCTCATCAGTGCCCATCAATGCCACCTATCAGTGTCCATCAGTGCAGCCTCATTAGCGCACATCAGTGAAGGAGAAAAATCACTTATTTACAAAATTGTATAACAAAAACTAAGAAAAAACGTTTTTTGTTTTTTTTTTAATTATCAGTGGTTTTTGGTTTGTTTAAGAAAAAAATAAAAATCCCAGAGGTGAATAAATACCACCAAAAGAAAGCTCTATGTCTCAAAAAAAATGTTAAAAATTTCATATGGGTACAGTGTTGCATGACCACGCAATTGTCATTCAAAGTGTGACAGCACTGAAAGCTGAAAATTGGCCTGGGCAGGAAGGGGGTGAAAGTGCCCTGTAGGCTAGTGGTTAAGGAGGTCAACAATGACTGCTAACACTTTCTCACAGCCCTATTACATGCAGTGTAGAACTAATCAACATGTTGCGATTAGCTGTTACAGCAGGATATCTGCTGCCAATGTGAGCTAGCACAGCCATTCTCAAAACAACAGTTTACAATGATGAATCACAGAAGCAGATGTCAATGAAAAACACTCACCTCTTTCATTAAACTATTTAGCTGGAATTAAAATCTGAAGCTGGGCATAGATAGAGATTGTGGCAAGTCCCATCATAATCTCCCTTATACACTGCTCAAAAAATTAAAGGAACACTTTTCAATCAGAGTATAGCATCAAGTCAATTAAACTCCTGGGATATTGATCTGATCAGTTAAGTAGCAGAGGGGGTTGTTAATCAGTTTCAGCTGCTTTGGTGTTAATAAAATTACAATGAGATGACCCCCAAAACAGGAATGGTCTGCGGATATGCACCTTCATACACAACAAACTTCGATGCCCATCTGTTTTTGCATTCAACACATCAACTACATGGACAACATGTTTACTTGCTGCCTAAGACACTGCTCAAAAAAATTAAAGGAACACTTTTAATCAGAGTATAGCATCATCAATTAAACTCCTGGGATATTGATCTGCTCAGTGAAATAGCAGAGGGGGATGTTAATCAGTTTCAGCTGCTTTGGTGTTAAATTAACAACAGGTGCACTAGATGGGCAACAATGAGATGACCCCCAAAACAGGAATGATTTTACAGGTGGAAGCCACTGACATTTTTTTCCCTACTCATCTTTTCTGGCTGTTTTTCACTAGTTTTGCATTTGCACAGGCAGTCCAACTCCTCCAGGATGGCACATCAATACGTGCCATTGCCAGGTTGCGGTGTCTCCCAGCACAGTCTCAAGAGCATGGATGAGATTCCAGGAGACAGGCAGTTACTCTAGGAGAGCTGGACAGGGCAGTAGAAGATCCTTAACCCATCAGCAGGACTGGTATCTGCTCCTTTGTGCAAGGAGGAACAGGATGAGCACTGCCAGAGCCCTACAAAATGACCTCTAGCAGGCTACTGGTGTGAATGTCTCTGACCAATCAGAAACAGACTTCATAAGGGTGGCCTGAGGGCCCAACGTCCTCTAGTAGGCCGTGCTCACGGCCCGGCACCATAGAGCTCGATTGGCATTTGCCATTGAACACCAGAATTGGCAGGCCACTGGTGCCATGTGCTTTTTCACAGATGAGAGCAAGTTCTCCCTGAGCACATGACAAACGTGAAAGGGTCTGGAGAAGCCATGGAGAACGTTATGCTGCCTGTAACTTCAGCATGACTGTTTTGGTGGTGGGTCAGTGATGGTCTAGGGAGCCATATCAATGAAGGGACACACAGACCTCTACAGGCTAGACAATGGCACCCTGACTGCCATTAGGTATCGGGATTAAATCCTTGGACCCATTGTCAGACCCTACGCTGGTGCTGTGGGTCCTGGGTTCCTCCTGGTACACGGCCTCATGTGGCAAAAGTATGTAGGCAGTTCCTGGAGGATGAAGAAATTGATACCATTGAATGGCCCCCACGCTCACCTGACCTAAATCCAATAGAACACCTCTGGCATATCATGTTTAGGTCCATTCGACACCAGGTTACAGCTCAGACTGTCCAGGAGCTCAGTAATGCCCTGGTCCAGATCTAGGAGGAAATACCCCAGGACACCATCAGTTGTCTCATTAGAAGCATGCCCCCGATGTTGTCAGGCATGCATACAAGCATGTAGGGGCCAAACTACTTAGTACCATTTTGAGTTGCTGCAATGAAATTTCAGCAAAATGGACTAGCCTGCCATATCATTTTTTCATTTTGATTTTCGGAGTGTCTTTGAATTCAGTCTTCTGTAGTTTGATCATTTTAATTTCCAACAAAAGAGGGGGCATCCTTACGTTCCTAACACATTACCCAGTCCATATCAGTATAGATATATAGCATATTATTCCCTATTGAGATCTGATGTATTTTCAAAGTGTTCCTTTAATTTTTTTGAGCAGTGTATAATAAAAATCAAAATTCAGATCTAGATAGCTTGGATGGATGTGTAAGCCTACACTTCACTCTCCTTGTGCCTGTGCAATACTTTACCATAGAAGCCGCCATCTCCTAGGTCTACGTTAAGACTTGCTGTACCCAGCAGTTCATGGAACAGAACTGCATAAGTACAATACAGGGGCAGGGCTTCTGGGAGAAAAATGCCATCCGACTTCATATACAACATCAGAACCTGGTTATTGTCCAAGCTGAGGTCTGTTTATAACTATATAGTGAGGAAAAGAGGAAGGCAATTAGGTTAAGGACTTGTCCTCATAAAGGTAATCTGATTTAATAAAAATATGGGAACTACAACTGCTGGCTGTTTAAAGCAGTAATAAAACAAAAAAGTAGTATATTGAAGCTTACCAATCCTTAAATGTGTGTGTACTAATTTTCTTTTAGACTTTTTTTTCTTTTTCTTTTAGGCTACATGTACACCGGAAAGCTTACTCTACTGGCAGCAGAAAACCGCTAAACACAGCAAAAACGCATTTAAACTCGGTACCGCATTTAGTACATGGACATTTATTCATTACATTGGCCAGAGTACTTGCCATTGAAATGAATAAAAGCTCAAGTGGGCTTAGGTGCATTTACACGCATTTTTGCCACATTTGGCTTTTGTTTTGCCATAACGTTCCTCACCTGAACGTGATTTTTCTGCATTCAGGAAAGGGACGTTTAACTGCCCCTAAACTCTGCTGCTGCTAAACTCAATAAAAGCCTTTGTGTCAATGCACACATAGGCTTTTATCAGAGTTGAGTTCAGGGGCTTTAGCAAAAAAAAGAAAAAAAAAAACGCCAAAAGCTCCTAAACGAACCTATAGGAGCAGCAGTGTGCATGGGGGCCTTATTTTCACCTGGGGCTAGATTAACAAAAAAAAAACTGGTTGGATCACCAGGTGCAAATAAAGGAAAAAAGCCTAGAAAACTAATGCAACCAACACATCTATGGATTGGCAAGCTGCAATTTATTTCTGTTTTCAGCTTTAATAGTTACATAGTTGGTAAGGTTCAATGGAAACAGTAGTCCATCCAGTTTAACGTGTGTATCACTCTCCTTTTCACATATTCCTGTATATTCTGTTTGCTATGATGACCATCTAAAAGTTTTTTTTAAAATACTGACACTCTTCGCTGACACCACCAACTGTGGAAGGGAGTTCAACATCCTTACCGCTCTGACAGTAAAGAACCCCTTAGGCAATTTAAGGTTAAACTGTTTTTTTGGATAGTGGTCATGTCTTTGTAAGCAACCTGAGTATTTTGCAATCATATCCAGTCTTACACATCTTTTCCTTGGTCTTTTCGTTGGTCTATCCTTTAAATGCATGAGCCTCTACTATGGGGACTCTCCAATTTGTAGAGTTAGGACCACAGAATATCAGGGTGCCATGATGTGGCTCTGTGGCTTACGTATGTATTTGAAAATGTGTGAAACGTTTTTAATGCATATCGTTAGGTTAATTTGGTTGTTGGCAAGCTGGCTGGCGAGTTGATTTTTGAACCATTTTTTTATTTTTCCTTTATTACTGGCATCTTTTCCAGGCACAGTAAGTTTAATGTTTGCAGTCGTTCCTCATAACTGAGGTCCTCCAGTCCCCTTATTAGCTTTGTTGCCCTTTTCAGGACTCTCAAGTTCCAGCACATCCTTCCTGAGGACTGGTGACCAGAACTGAATGGCATGCTCCAAATGTGGCCAAACCAGTTTGGTAAAGTTATAGTTTTATCTCTTGTGGAAATACCCTTAATGCAAGCTAATAGTCTGCTAGCCTTACTTGCTGCAGCTTGGCATTGCATGTTATTGCTGAGCGTGTGATCTACTAGGACCCTCAGATCCTTTTCCATCCTCAAGGAATACCATTTAACAATGCATTCTCCAAGAATGTAATTTTGATCAAGGCTTCACTACTTGACAAGTTCACACTTTACTGTCTGCATGATTGTTGGTAACTCCATAGGCAGTGAAGATAGAATCAGACCCCTTTGGAAATTGCAGTGTTAGGAACCAGTCAACAATAGCATATCCTCTATCTCTACCCACAAAAGGTCAATCAGATTTTTTGTAAAAGTCAAGACCTCACTTTTATTTTTTTTTTAGTAGGAAATATAGTAGGAAATATAAATGTGTAAGTTAATGTTTAAAAGAGCCAGCCAAGGTCAGCTGGCTCTGTGTGCTGATAGATTGCCTTGTCAAATGCTCCAGGAGGCAGACCCAGGGTTCCAGGATGTAAAGGCAGATGGAATCATCTGCCGTTAGTGTATGGCCAGCATGAGATGAATGGGGAAGAAAAGGAAAATAAAGTATGCAAAGAACAAAAAAAAGCCTATAATTACACACTGTACATATTTGTTTGTAGATTGCAATTACAAACATTTAGAACAAGGTGAAATTGTAATTTTTAAGATAAGGGTGAAGTTCCTCTTTAAGAGGTAACAAGTTGTATTCTCATCTGAATTTCCACTGTTAGATAACTGTAAAAGCAGCCTAAACCAGGCCTTTGGCCCCTATATGTTTTTCTCAATGTCTTTAAAGCCCAACACAAATTAATTAAAAAAAAAAAAAAATCATCCTGAACTGCAAGGGCAAATGACTCAATCTCCTCAATGTACAATATAGGGTTATTAGCCCTGTACTATATGAGATGACACAGAGGCTCCGCCCACAGACCAGAGGTTCAGAAAGAAAAGGAAAGCACCAGAGTAGGGTATAAGACAAAAGATAGAACCTGAAGGATGCACCTCTAGACATACTGAGTATTTAACATTTGCACAGTAGGGGCCCCACTGAATTTTTTTTTTTCAATTCCTAAATCTCTAAAGTTGGGCTTTAAGGACACCAGATGATGGCAAGTCACTTATGAATGACTTACAGCTCTCCACTATACACCTGTTATGTAGCTAGAAGTCATTGTAATCTTATGTGACCAGCACAGAGAACACCAGTCATCTCTATTGTTTTTCCTCCTTTTTCTCCTTATATTCTTCCAGACGTAACAGCCATTTGTCCCAGTAATATGTGCACAGTTCAGGGTCCATAAAATGTGCATGTGCAGGGGATCCATCTTTATAGACCACCACTACCAGGCCACAATCAACCTGAAAGACAAAACAGTTAATTTAGAACCTCAGCTTATACAAAATGCATATACTAAAGCCTATTTATTGGTAGAATAGAAATACAGGCAAGAAAGGACACATTTTAACTGCAAAATCTTGCAAGCATTCATTGTTTCAAGTAATATTCCAGTCAGTTTCTAGTGGTTGTGATAGCCAATCACAGGACTACACAAATGACAGAGATTTTCAGCTGCACAGTTATCTGACCACTGGTCTTCGTAAACAGTTAATTGAGTTTTGTAGCTTACTGACATTTATGATACAAATACATGTAGGAACTGCTCGATGCAATAGAATGGCACAGACCAGTCAAGATTATCATCTTCTGGGGTCCCCCGTTGGTGCCACTATAGGAATCCACTTACTATTGTGGCACACCTGCGGGCTCGATCTTGAGTGCCTACAATTTTCAATAAACCAGGTCCTAGGAGGCGTGCAGAAAAATGTAATGAAGACAGCACAGACGTGTTAGGTATGTTTTAAGTGCTATGTATGAGATGTCTCAGAAACACATACAGTTGGTATGCAAAAGAATTATATTTTGTTGCTTTGCAGCCTGAAATGAAGGCAGACAGTTTTTGTTTTATCCAGCTGTATTTACTCAGTGCAACTTATAATATCCAAGTGAAAGACAGAACACTAACATGTCAGAAAACCCCCCCCAAAAAAACAGAAATCACTGAGTTGGAAAAATGATCGCCCCATTGCTGTGTGCTTTTGGTCATTGTCATGTTGGAAGGTAAACCTTCTTTCCATTGACAACTCTCTGGCAGAGGGCAGCAGATTTTTCTCAAGAATTCGACGGTATTTTGCTCATCCATTTTACCTTCTATCCAGATAATAACAGGGTATTACCACCTCCATGCTTTACTGTAGGAATGGTGTTATTTGGATGGTATTGGATTTCCACAAGACATATCGTTTAGTGTTGAGGCCAAATAATTCCATTTTAGTCTCATCTGACCAGAACACCTTTTTCCATGTGGCCTTAGAATCTTCAAGGTGCGTTTTGGCAAAGCTCAGTTGTGATTGCATTCATGAGGAGTGTCTTTTTTCTTGCAAACTTCCCATACAAGCCACATTTGTGCAGATTTTGTGATATTGTCAAACGCACACATTGACCCCTCTGTCATAAATTCCTGCAACTGCTTCAGAATTGCTGTAGGCCTCTTGGTAGCCTCTCTGAGCAGTTTTCTCCTAACTCTTCCAGTTTGGAGCGACGTCCTAATCCAGGGAGGGTCTATGTTGTAGCAAATACCTTCCACTTCTTAATAATAGACTTCACTGGGCTTCTAGGCATTGATAAAAGGTTTGAATTTTTTTTCTATCCATCTCCTGACTTTTGCCTGTCCACAACTTTATCCCAGAGATCTTTTGACAGTGCCTTGCCAGCCATAGTTGATTGCTTGCTTCAGTTGCACTATCAGGGACTGAAGTTCTCCAGGAAAGGAAAGCTCTTTTCATGCTGAGCTAATTTGTGTGCCAATGAGCTACACCTGAGTTTACAAGTCATTTTTAGAAGGGGGTGATCCCTTTTCCAACTCAATGACTTTGTTTTTGAATGTTTTAAAAAAAATGTTTGATATGTCAGAGCTTTCACTTGGATGTTAGAAGTTGCACTAAATACACCCATAAATATACAAATAAGGAGTAAATACACCTGGATAAAACAAAACAACTGTGTTTGTCTTCATTTCAGGCTGCAAAACAAAAAAAATTACGATTTTAAAGGGTGGGTGATTCTTTTCTATACCCACTGTAAAAGCACCAAGAAGTACTTACTTGAAAGTTATAGTTGACATCATGATTTAGAGCGCCAACATAAGCAGCAACCTGCAGTGGATTGTCAAAAGTTCTCTGTATGTGTGGCTTCTGCTTCTCAGAGGTTTTCCACTCTATTATGCAAAGTTTTCCCCTGCAACAAATTAATATGTGATATTTTATTTTCACTGGAATGCAGTAGAAAGGTTTAGAAAAATCAAAATCTTGTATATAGTACCAATAGGCAAATGTGTGTCTATTTTGCTGATAGGTAGGATTGCAATTGAAATAATTCAATCTTCACAACTGGGAACAGCCATCACATTTTACTGACAGGAGTATGAATTTTCAGAATGGCAATGGCTAGCAGATTTCCCAAGTGAGATGTTGTTGTTGTAAGATTTCTAGTAATGTTGTTCTGTTTTCTATAGACACAGCACTGTGAGGCCAGGCAAATAACTTTGTAAAGGCGGAATAGGGGAAAAAAAGGGGGTAGAAAAGCCCAGTTACATAATCTGTCAGATTAAGGCAATTTGTAACATGGTAATTGCAAAAATCACCTTTCATTACCTATCCCAGGGTGGACAGTCTTTTGGAGAACCCCCAAGTCTCAAAAGTGTTATTTCCTTCAACAATGATTATTTTGTAAGGCGCTACATAAGCATCTAGTTACCAATAGTACCAAAATAATTATCTTGGAACCCAGTGAAGCTTGTGGGATCCAATCTGGATTCTAAATTCATGACTGATCATCTCAGCTATATGCCATTTATATGCACTCTCCTTCACTTTAACACGGACATGTTTACATTTTTCTGAACTCCTAAATTGTTCGTAAATTCCTGAAAAAAAAATGTTCATAAATTATTCCTATAATCTGCAATCTGCTCCAGCAGGATGCTCCCTATCCTCACATCACAGAGAGGGCCTGATAAGAATTCGACTGAGCTACAATGTAATTGGCCTGAATGTCTCTTGAGAATTTACTTTGCCCCCCATAGGTCTACAGAACATAGATTCTAAATGTCCACTTAAAGTGGAACTTCACTCTCTCAATCAACATTGCCTATTTTTAATCCTTATGCTGATAGCATTAATAGGTAGATAAGAAGGTTTATTATATTTACTTGTTTTAAACTTTTTTTTTTTTTTTTACATATCTTCATTTACTTCCTGGTTTCCAGTCCTAGGTAAATGATATCATAAATCTCACGAGGGGAGGAGGGTTTTTCTCAGCTAAGCACAACCCCTGCCTGCATGTTTGAGCTAAAGGCATATGGTTTCCAGGAAGCAAATGCTTCATGTTTCATCTGCCCTCACTCAAGATGGCAACAGCCAGAAATGCGAGGGGGTATTTTTCAAAGTGATTTCTCAGCAAAAATAAAGCATGGAGAAATGGTTGGATGGAGCTTGTTTTGAATATTAAAAATGAATTAATAGTGTTTTTGGTGCCTAGATGATTTGTAGTTCTACTTTAAGATTCAGACAGTCTAGTTTTAAATCGAAGACCTTTTATATTTGAGACTCTACAAGAGTGCTACTGAGAATAATTCTGTATACTAACACCCCAATATACGTATATTTATATATTTTTCAAAATATACACAGAAAAAATAATTTCTTAAATTCCATAACAGGTGTAGAACTTCACAAACGTGGTGCTCTACATACAGGTGGTGGAGGGCAGTGGCAGAAAAAGTGTGCCCTGAGCCCAGTGCTAATCATCTAGAAAAAGTCAAGAACTTCTCATGTTTAGCAGTGATAGAGTCTAGAGTCTCCCTTCTATTGTAATGTTTTTGCCAGAACCTGGTCCTAGCCATCAAGCTAACCCCTTCTGCTCACCTTTAGCTACCAAGAGCTCCTACTTTAACAGTAGCTTTCTTTTTAAACAGCAAATAACAGATTCTCCTTTTATCTTTGAACTGTTTATTCCCAATTTAATCACATATTCAAAACAGGTTTGCCCTTACTTCATCCTGATGAGAAATGAAAATAAACAAACACTCTTTCAATACACTCTACCTGCAGCTTATGTGCAAGCTACTTCACTTTTTTTTTATGTTGCTTCTAGTAAACCTTGAGGACAGAACCATCCCACCCATACTGTTGTTCTGTGTTCTGATTTTGTACATTGGGACAGATAAAGATTCTGGACACAGTAGTGAAGGTTAATACCTGAAAAAGTTCTTTATATTGTGCTTATTCACAATCCAGGCGAGCACTGTGTCTGGATCTATGATAGTCCTAGAATGGAGATTGTTAAATAATTTGCCATGTTAAGACTTTCTACACCTGCTTTTTGGACCACTGGAGTTTTATTTACTAAAGACTAGTAAATAAGGTGAATCTGTGTTCAATTTAAATACCCATTCCTGTAAAAGTGAAAAAAAATAGAGATAAAAGAATTTTTGCTACTGAATGACTGGTTGAACATGGATTCAGCTTTTCACATAGATAGGTGAACAGTCTCTGCTTTACTACATTAGTGAAGTAAACAATTTTGATATATAAAAAAAAACAAACATTCACCCCAAAGTCACAGTAAGTACCCATAATGTATGTGATATGTGTGAAATGCCAGTTTCTTCATTGCCTTTTACAGGATGAATGCAACATTCCCTTACATTGGCTTGTAAGGGAAAATGGTCTCAAGAACATTCCAGCAGTAGAATTAAAAAGCATTTAACCACTAGAGGAAAAAGCCTAATACTAAAGGGTAGGTAACACAGTGCTGAATGTGGAATTTCTGGATTCAAATGAAGACATTCACAATTTGAGATCCAAGATGGGTGAATGTGTATGCATATGAGAACCACCTGAAACCGTTCTACCACAGCACCTATAGCAATGACACCTTGATCCAGAAGACTTTAGAGGGCTCCATAGACATCATCTTATCTATGGGGTGATACAGGAAGGTTGGATGTGAGAATTCAAGGGGGCAGGCAGCAAAACTCAGTTTGTAGACCTGGGATACCACCTCCTGCATCCAGGTGTTGGATATGCAAGTTGTCCAAGTCTCCCCACAAGCGTGAAAGTGCACAACTGAATTAGAACTGCATCATTAACAGGCAATTTGTACGAGAGGCGAGAAAGCAAAACAGCAACAGGAGGGCTTCCCAAGTGGGCAGCTTGCAAAGTACATATGTATTCTCAAAATAAAAGAGAAATTAACTCCCACACGAAATGGTCAATTAACTACAGCTGCTACTATAGAAAATAATATATAGGAAGTATCAGTACTTGAAAAGAAGGAACCTCAACCTAGCATAGATCGGCTAGGAACTCACAACAGTGATATGCAAGAGACAGGGACATACTGGCTTGACCTGAGTGGTGGTGTCCTGTGTGAACTGGAACACAGAGAATCACTGCCAACTGCAGCAACATCAACACAGGTAATGAACTGGGAACCTGCACTGTTTGGCTAACCGAAGAACTTTCTGGTTTCCAAATTCGCCCTGAAGCCTGGAAAATGTTTCATAAATTCAGAGCTTTTGCAGAGAAGACACTATCATCAACTGGAAAAACCTGTGCTTGGAGGCTGATTGGAGAGACTTCCAGGATTCAGCATATGTGACATGAATCTACTGACAGCTGTTCCTAGAAAAAAATCTTCTAAATCAGACAGAGAATAAATAGTAGAGATGAAGACACGTCTACACTCTGGAGGTCACAAGCTAAAAACCGAGGCATGTTGTGGTTGTGGCTGGGGCCAAGAGCTTTTTTGGTACAAGTGACCATTACTTCTGTACACGACAGCATGACCCCACAGTCTAAACCAGGGGTGCTCAACCTTTTGAACAGCAGCAAGGGCCACTTAAGTGATTTGGTTACAAGTTGTGGGCCACAATGAAATGAAATGGTTCAGAATTTCAAACTTTTTATTTTGAATAGCATAATTAACATTTTCTTCCTGCAGCTGCTGAATGCCAGTGGGAGGGAGAGGAGGAGAACTCTGCTTTCAGCGGTTGAAGGAGGAAAATAAAGAGGATCAGTTCCTGTATATGCCACCACCGCCACCCCTCCTGTCCAAGTGTAAAACAGAATGTGACAGGGAGGCGACATGGGCATACTGGAGCATGGGGCAGGGGCAGGGTCACCATTGTGAACCCTGATGTTACACCAGTGGTTGGAGGTCATGGTAAAAAAAAAGTCTCAACGTCCTCCAAACTGCAAATGAGCCCTTATTTTCCTGAGCCCCCTATATCCTGCTTTCACACTGATGAGCTGCGGTTTGCACCTGCGGGTTAGCTGCATTTTGCTATTGATTACTATCATATCTTGTGGGTGTAGTGCATTCTGGAGTTTTGGTGCACTTTCAGAAAGCGCACCAAATCTGCAGGATATAATTAAAGTCCTGCGGATCAGTGCACAAGCAGCCTTATAGTTGTTAACCCTTTTATAAGTCTTAACACGCCCATTGCAAAAGTGCAGTGTATGTGTTAAGACACTGACCTTGTTGTCTTCTTCCAGCTTCTGTTGGCATCGCTCTCCATCTCCAGGTTGCTAGAAAGGTCCCAGGTGACATGCACTTGGAATCACTTCACCTGGGACAGGAGCTGGTGCTACAAAGGAGGCATTGGCTTATGCAGGTCCTACTCCCTCCGCGGCTGCCTGCATCCTCCACTGCTGGAGCCGACTCAATGCACTCTGATGCTCTGGGATGGAGGGTCGGTAAGCCAAAATCGCCATCAACAGGTTGCCAACCCCAAGGATGCGCTTCCCTGGTTTGAGGTTGAGGGACACATCAGAGGGCTCTGAGGGCCACATGTGGTCCACAGGATACAGACTGAGCACCCCTGGTCTAAACTATTACAATGCAGACTAGAAAAAAAAAAAAAGTCTGGCATTTAAATTTGTTTTAAGGTGGGTTTTTTTTTCCACAGTTATATTTTCTCACCTATAATAAGCAACACAATCTACAATGCCCAGGTACTTTAGCTCGGAGTGGAGAACAGCACTTTCCAGTGTCCTTAATTCTGAAACATCAGACAGGACATGTTCCACACTGGCCAGGTATCCGGACAGCTCATCAGTATCTTCTGGTCTATGAATGTTGTCATCTCTAGATACAAGCAGATCCTCCAGCCTTGCATGGAACTGCTTTCCCTGTGAGAAAACAGCTGGAAATCAAATAGAGAAATGTTAGGGCTGTTATAATATGTGTTCTCGTGTAGTGAAAGATTTAAATCACAAAGATATGGAAGACAATATTAAAAAAATTACTAGTGCAATATTATGATTTCATACAACATGTTAACTCTTTTCAAAGTCTGTATATGGATTTCAACAAATACCCAGATCCTTGTTCATTTTTTATTACACATAAGGCATACAGGCTGCTACACCATGAAAAGTTGTCCTCATATACTCAATTTAAATAATCCAGCTTTGTGACAAGTTTACTTTGTGTTTACATACTGTATGAGCTACACAGACATGAAATCCCTTCCCCACAACTAACAGCTGAAATGTGCGACAACCTCATGCCTATGGTCCTTCATCATAACCAATGTTCGGGGAGGGGGAAACATAAATCAGGCAAGCAATTTTGCCTCCTTACCCCTGAAAAATGTCTTAAATTAAGAACTCCAGGCAAACCGCTGAATAAATGGGTTGATTTACTAAAACTGGAGAGTGCAAAATCTGGTGCAGCTGTGCAGAGAAACCAATCAGCTTCCAGGTTTTATTGCAAAGCGTCATTGAAGAAGCTGAAGTTAGAAGCTGATTGGCTACGATGCACAGCTGCAGCAGATATTGCAATCTACAGTTTTAGTAAATCAAACCAAAAGCACTAGTTCAGCAATAAAGTGTCACCTCTTTCACTCCAGACTGAGCGATGAATTCAGGACCATCCCCTCTGACCAATTGGCAGGGAAGAGGACCAGGAAACAATACAGCAGAACCAGAGAAGTGGAATGGCTGTGCAAAGATGCAGAGATGCATGATAAAGGAGTTGCACAAACTACAAATCCTTTAGCAGGTAAAACAGTAAATATATATATAAATAAGCTGTATATTTAGCTGTTTGCCTGAAGTTCCTATTTGACATACACAGGATTCTTATCTAAAAATACAATTGGGAAAATGGATGTTCTTCAGATTTGGAAAGAAAAGAACAGGCATACATACCTGCTGTGTACTCAATGAACCCTTCTTCTCCTAGTTCCATTATCATTCTTTGCTTCCACCGTTCCAAATAAAACGCTTGCTCCATTGGCATAGTCTGTTGAAGGATACGGGTGACACTTGGCAGTCTGCCGTCAGCCATCTGATCTCTGGCTGGTAAGCTAATTTTCACTGGGATATTGGGGTCTGTCTTCTCTGCAGGCAGTATCACTTTGTTGGAATTGTACATCAGTGAATGATTCCGGGGCACCCTAGTTTCAGGTTCTTGTGATGGCGCCTTTGATTTTATCACTTCACCATACAAAAAGCTGTCTTCTTCAAATATCCTCTCGGGAGTCTGACAACTAGTCTTAGAGGAGGTTACCATCCGAACCAGATTTGCGTACTTCTCCTGGTCAATGTTTTCATAACCATTTACTTTCTTCTTCCTGCTGTGTGCGGTGCAGGATGTAGATAGGAAAACTGGAGTGTGCTGAGGCTGGAACAGAACATTTGCCATCCCTCTGCAATTTCTGCATATTAGATGGAGTGTCTTCATTGTCAGCATTACAATTATTTCACTTTTTGTTCTCCAAAATTAGATAATATAAGGACATACCTGCAAAGAAATGAACACAGTTTAAATGAAACTCTGGGATTCATGACAAATCACAGAATGCTACACGATTCATGCAGAAGGATAAGAAACTAATGTTGCTAAATTTAGCATTATTTAACCACTTGCCTACCGGCACTTATATCCCCTTCTTTACCAGGCCAATTTTCAGCTTTCAGCACTGTCACACTTTGACAATTGCGCGGTCATGCAAGATTGTACCCATATGAAATTTTTATCATTTTTTTCTTACAAATAGAGCTTTCTTTTGGTGGTATTTAATCGCTGCTGGGCGCTTTACTTTTTGCTCTATAAACAAAAAATTGCAAAAAATTTGAAAAAAAAAAGTTTCTTTGTTTCTATTATAAAATTTTTCAAACAGGTAATTTTTTCTCCTTCACTGATGTGCGTTGATGAGGCAGCACTAATGGCCACTGATAGGCAGCACTGAAGAGCACTGATAGGCAGCACTGATAGGCAGCACTAATGAGGTGGCACGGATAGGCAGCACTAATGAGGCGGCACAGATAGGCGACACTGATGATGGGGGTACTGATAGACAGCACTGACTGGCATCACTGCTGGGCACTGACTGGCGGCACTGACTGGTACAACCGCTGGGCACTGACGGGCTGGCACAGGTGGGTGCATGCTGGGCACAGGTGGGCGGAGCTAGTGGGCGCACTGCTGGGCACAGGTGGGCGGAACTTGTGGCTGGCACTGCTGGGCACCGATCATCAGGGCACTGATCATCACTGATTTATGTGATGAAAAAAAATTAAGTGTAAAAAAAATATATTTATATATATTTTTTAATTGTAAAAAAAATTAAGTTACACCTAAGCACATAACCTCCCCCCCCAATATACGCACGCACATACATACATAAAAGCACACGTTGGGGTGCCTACGCATGTGAACGTCGATTGCGATATACATTTCACATAACGCTGCGCACGCCAGGATGAGAGCAATAATTCTAGCACCAGACCTCCTCCCTAACACTACTGTAAACTGATAACCTATAAGGGGCTTTAAAAGCATCACATATAGAAAGTTTAGGGTACTGAAATTCATCGCCATTTCACAAGCGCACGCAAATTTAAGGTTTGACAAGTTAGATATCTATTTACTCTAAGCATCTCATCTTTTATATTTTTCAAAAAAATAGGATAATTTATTGCTTTTTTTGTGCCCTAAAATTAACTTGTATTTTTACTGAAATTTTGTAGTAATATCATGCGACGTAAAAAAATTGGAACTACCACTTTTATTCTCTAGGGTCTCTGATTTCAGAAAATATATAATGTTTGGGGGTTCTATGTAATCTTCAGGCCTAAAATGATTTTTTTTTAATCGAAAAGGGCTCTGGCAGCGAAAGCGATAAAGGTTAAGCCTAACACTCACCTTTCCTGAGGAGCAGCCAATTGGTGCTCATTACACTGCAAGGTCTCTCTCCTCCCTGCTAGTCCCCAGATGTGGTGCTGGAGACAGGCGGGAAGGGGGAGGGGGTAGGAGACAAACAGCGCAATGTTAAAAATGTTACACATTTAACTCGCCATAAAACCCCTTTTGTTTTTAAAAAAAAAGTCCTAAAATCACCTCTGATTTAAATACAGTCTTGGTTAAAAAATTATTTTTTTTTTTCATCTGGACAAGTAGATTGGCGCATCGATTTAGTCCTTGGACAAGTCGTTTCTTCAAAAATTTCCACACCCCTGATTAGCATGTAAAGTCACTAGAATTGTACTTCTCTAAATGCTCTGCCAAAAGTAACCTGCGTTCTGTGCAGAAAATAAACATATGCCCGTGTAAATGCTGAATGTGAGCATTTCCATGTCATTTTGGCATGTTTATTGTGCATTCATGGAAAAATAGGAAGAGAGCGAGCGCCAATAATAACTAGCAGCTGAAACCAAAAATCCTCATAAGATACAATCGAATAAAAAGGTGCTGTGCAAAAATATATGTATATATATGAACTTCTAAAACTGATAAAAATTTCCAAATAAAGTGACAAAAAATGCAATGCATACATATGCTAAAGTGCCCTGCATGTGACATAGAATTACATAAATATATCCCACAAAAACTACTCTAAGTGAAGAGTATGAACAGTCCAAACATGGATAAAAACGTGACTGATGTGATCCAAGATAATCTCTAGTGAGTGATCCGTGCTTCTCAGACGATCAATCAGGTGATGTGTCAAAGGGATGTTAAAAATGCACACTCACCAGAAGAAAGATCATAAAGCACATGGTATATGAGATATAGCCGGAGGACCCCCTTAAGAGGTGGTCAGCCTGGTCAGGTCCAAGAGATCTCCTTCCTCCCTGGTACTCTGCCACACAGCTATTGTCCTCCAGGTATGGGCTCTAAGATGGTATTGGCTCATATAGAGCCAAAAAGAAGAATGCCCATAGTGTAGTACTTTTACAGCCAAAATGTTTATTCAGTGTAAAGCAACTCAATATAAACAGCATAGGAATCAACACTGACCATGTACAGAAATAAAGATGGCCGCCGGACCCCCTCTTGGTCTCGGCGGCGGGGTGACGTCACCACGTATGGCTCCTCCTCTACGTGTTTCGTGCATGAGCACGTAATCATGAGGGGTATGCACATAGAGCCGGGGACATCATTCAATTCAATATATAGTCGGGGTGGTGCGTGCGCACAACACAACCCGAGTAGGCGCGGTGGTTGCCGCGCACTCCCGATCCGCCATTTTGCCGAAGTACATACACGCGCCTACTGAGGCGCCATTGTACCATAGGTTTTACCCATAAAGTAACTAACAGCAGATATGAAAAGAGCACTAGCATTAGCGCAAAAATAATGATGTATAATGAATATATAGGAAATTGTTGGATCAGGAAGGAGAATCAATGAATACAAGATCCAAAAAATAAATATATACTAATAAAACTCAAGTATAAATAGAATTACGTACAAAATTATATAAGTATAAAAACTGTGCTCAAGTCATCTCCTGCTGTAAATATAATAGGGCTTCAAGGACCATTCACTTTCTAAGATCCACAATAAAGATTCTTCATGTGGGACATGTTCACTTCTGAGCGTTTTCACCCGCGCGTTTTTTGTAAAGGGTCAGGGACCTTTTTTAACGCAAACATTTGCATTTTTGGTTCTATAGACTTCAATGTAAATGCTGCAGAAAAGCATGTATTGTATTTTTGATGCGTTAGCCTAGCAACAAGAAAATTTAAAAAAAAAAAAAAAAAAAAAACAAAACGCATCAAAACCTGGCAAAAAACGCGAGCGAAGGGGTAGGACCTCTACTCTGGACCCCCGGGGCTCGAGGCTCCTGACAGGGACAAAGGGTTTCCAACATGGTCTACCTAGCCAAAAGGCCCCCTTTCCTTGTGGCCAGCTGAAGCCATCCACTAAGTACTAGGTCATTGGGTTCTCCTGAAGAGAGACCCCCCCTTGCCAGGACCAGGGGAGAAGGGAACCTAAGGGCCACACATCCTGCCCCTAGGCCCCATACCCTCCCATCCTAGTGAGAAAAAAAAAAAAAAGAACACACATAGGTGACAGTGGAGGAAAATAAATACATATGTGGCCATGCAATAGTGCACTGGCTAGGCCCTAAGGCCCAGAGCAAAAATATTGCCCTGGACTTAGCCAAAAGGCCTAGCCCTAAAAGGAGCAGTGCAGATAAAGTGTTTAAAACAGTGAACGTGCACTTTTCACATGTGGGATCCCACCCCCATCTGTTACTAAGAGCCCACCTGGGGTGACCACTCCCAGAGGGCACTGCTCCGTGGACTTGCTGCCTCCCCTGGACCTTGGCCGGACAAGGTAAACCCATTCAAATAAGGAGGAACTGGGCCTATCCGGTTTTCCTGGGGGAATTACTCCCAGCCCCAACAGCCTGTGGACGTCTCGGTTTCTGTTCCAGCAGGTACTAGCCTTGGGAGACCCCATCATACCAGCAGGGGTACTATACTGCCAGCCATTCTCACCAAAAAGACAAGAATGACGGCAGAGCACCCCTACTGGACACTAAGAACAGATACTACACTTGATCTTAGCCAAAATGTCAAGAAGCGATCAGTGACTGATCACTGTGATAGCCAATCAGAGGCTATCACAGCTATCAGGTGACCCAGAATTGGGAGTTCCGGGTCGTGATTGTTAGTACAGGACCCAGTGCCCTCGGTGAGACCCCCAGTCTCTGTACTGAGAAAGGGAGATACGCAAATATGCACCTCCACCGAAAAAAGCCCAGTCCAGTGGGGCTGCAGATTTGTGGTACGTTGGCGCCAAGGGGTTAAAGTGTACCGTATTTTTTTTTACATTGAGTTTGAAAAACCGCTGTGCAGATACTGTGTGAAATGAAAGAAAAAATAATGCAACACCCACCATTTTATTCTCTAGGCAGGGGTCTCCAAACTATGGCCCTCCAGGTGTTGAGGAACTACAAGTCCCATGAGGCCTTGCAAGACTCTTGACAGCCACAGACAAGACTCCCATAGGCATGACATGGGCTTGTAGTTCCTCAGCACCTGGAGGACCATAGTTAGCAGACCTCTGTTCTAGGGCCTCTGCTGAAAAAATATATAATGTTTGGGGATCTAAGTAATGTTCTAGCAAAAAATGCTGATTTTTTCACACATAGGAGAGGAATGTCAGAATCGGATTGGCTCGGAAGTAGTGAAATCTCCCACTGAAGTCTACTGGGGGCCACAGACACATGACCATGCCCAGAAGACGCTCCTGAGCTTTGGGTGGCAGCATGGTGCTTGGATGTGACCAGGCACAATAGAATAACATGGCAATCTGCTGTCCAGCAATGAGGTACTTCTGGAAAGGCATTGCTAATGGCTGAGGTGTGAATGAGCCCCAGTGAGGGTGTCCTCATTGTATCCAAGAGCAATAGACCGGGGCCGCTGATAGGTCAAAGGTCACATGACACACGGCGC